GGCTTGTTTTACAACGTCGTTGCCAAGCGACGAAAACCCAACCCCAATGGCAAACACCGGGGGGGACGCTAGGGGGGTAAGAATGCTGTCTGTATTCCCCCCCCTTGATGGGAGCTGAGGAATATAGCAGAAAGGTAGAAGGAGATGTTTGAGGCACGGAATAGCCACGAGAAGACGGTAGCTGTACTGGGGCATTGTACCTGGGCTGAAAAGGCGGAACGTGATATGCATAAGATGGGTAGGCTAGGGAAAACTTTTTTGGGCCAGCTGTGGCAAATCTTGAAGGAACGATTGGCCATCGGTGATCGGTCCTGTGGGAACAATGCTCCGTCCTCTCGAGGACGCGTGATCAATGGTCCAACCGCTAAGGCATACCAAACATAAGAGTGCCCCCCCCCCCCCCCCCCTCCCCCCCTCCAGATGAAACCAATGGAGTTGTATCAGGGTAGCTGACCGATGAGGAAACCAGCTGGCATCAGGTGGAGGGTTCACACGTACATGACAGCACGGGACATTCGACTTTCCCTTGTCACTCCTTTCCGCACTTCGGTCTTCCAAGTTATCGCTTGAATGTTTACTACTACTACCACCCAAGATCTGCACCGGGGCACGTTTCACTTCGCCTCACGAGCTGGATGCTCGACGCATCGACGCACGGGGAAAGGTCGATTGAAGAAAGATCAGTCCAAGGGCGTCGCTGTTAAACTTCTGGGGAAAGTTGTATATCGGTAGGGAACGCCTCGGGTCCTGTTCAGGCTCTAGTTTTTCGCCGGCAGAGAAAGTTTCGCTTAGACCCCACCGATCGATCCGCCCGCCGCTTGCCCCCCTCCAGGCGACCTTTAAGAACGCCAACTTCACCAGCAACGCCGCCGTGTGGGGGGGCGCCGTGGCATCGTTCTCCTCCGGCGAGGTGGCCTCCTCCTCCAGCTCCAGCACCCCCTTCCGGACGAGCGGCAGCAGCGGCAGCGGCTACGACCCGGAAGACCTGACGCCTTCGCTCACCACCACCGCGGGAGGCGCCACGACCGTCACCTCGCTGTCTGCGGACCCCGACGCCGACGGTTCTGGCGAAGAAGAAAGGGGTTCTTTCGGCGGCGGCGGCGGCGGCGGCGGCAGCGCCGCCGCGCCCACGAAGTTCCTGGGTTGCGTCTTCGGGGAGAACCACGCCTCCGAGGACGGCGGGGCTATCTGTGAGTGACCGGGCGGTCTTGAGGGAGGCGTAGGTATACCCTGTGCTGTTGGATGGTGCATCGACGATTGTTTGGTGTCGGTGGTATATTTGTTTTCTGGATGGTACTATCTACTGCTGTACTCGCACAATGTGTTGGATCTTGCATCGACAGCTGTTGGTAGTGGTTGTGGTATTTTTTTTTCTTCGTGGTGATGATGATGATGATGATGATGATGATGATGATGATGATGATGGTGATGATGATGGTGATGATGATGATGATGGTGATGATGATGGTGATGATGATGATGATGATGATGATGATGATGGTGGCATTGTGGCTTGTGCATCGACGGCTGCTTAGTGTTGGTGTCGGTTGGATGGTACTGTACGGGTACAACTGTGTTGGATTTTAGCATCGACAGCTGTTGGTGGTGGTTGTGGTTTTTAGTTTCTTCGTGGTGATGAGGATGGTAATGGTATCTTGTTTGATGGAGTGCCAGCTGTTGTTGGTGTTGGTGTTGGTGACCTGGGATGGCACCACCACACTATCACGGGCCTTAGCCATCCTGCCCCCATCTGTCTTGCCCCGGCAGCTCTCAACCCAGCTCATCTCCTGCGCCCCCCTCGTTCGTTCCTCTCTTCCCTTCGTTTTGTTCTGGTCCAGATTCTGTGGCGGGTTTTGACATGGTGAAGGAATCCACCTTCTTCCACAACATTGCGGCCTCTTCCGGCGGCGCCCTCGTACACGCCGGGGTGATGGAGGAGATCTCCGGAACCACCTTCGAGGGCAACGGGGCGGGAAACGAGGGCCCCGCGGTCGTCAGTCTGGGCTTGCTGGTTTACATGGGAGGGGTTACCTTCGACGGCAACAGTTTCTACTGCGAGGAAGGGACGTTCAGCACGGAGGTCGAAATCGAGGTGCGTGTGAGCCTTGTGGGATAGCTCCGGCACCTGGACGAAACGCCACAAGTTCAAACTCCCTCGAAATATCATCTAGACTAGTTGTATACCGATCCGGGCACTTGCTTTGCTTTTTTCTGACCCACTTCGACACCGCCCAATGCCTGCGTGTTGTGTGCGACGCGCCGCTGTTAACAGGGGGAGGAAGTGTGCCGCTTCGGCCGCGTGTGCTCGAGGTGCGCCAGCGAGTGCGGCAGCGAGCTGCAGGATGAAGTCACCGTCGCGGACCCGGATCTACTTCCCGCATGCGAAGCGGTTCCCGAGGGGGCCCAGACCACAACCAGAGGTCGGCGCGTTCGCAGTGGCAATCCCGCTCCAACACGGTGTTGGGTTTTGTTTGCAGCTGCGTCCACCACGTCCGCAATGGCAAACCCGCTCAAATATGCTTACAGTTGTGTGAACTGCTGTGTCCATGGAATGACGTTTGTACCGATCGCCTCAACGAGAGTCCATCATGGCAAACCCGCTTCAGTTGAGTTAGCTGCTGTGTCCACCACGTGCGGGATGGTGGCGCTTGTTTTACCGACCTCCCGGCAATCGAAATTGATACGGAGAGATGTACCGATTGCCGGTGTTCAAAATTGATTCGGAGAGACCTTGACTCTGCGTCGAAATTGGGCCTGGTCTTGCGACAGGTACCCGTTTGGCCCCCGCGAGGTAGATCTCTAGAGGCCACGAGCTTCAACCGCTATTGATGAATACGGGGGGCAAAAAACGCGGTATAGAGTGTTCAGCCGGCGCTAGTGATCGTTTCAGTGGCATGACGTTAGATAGTCTAAGCATTTTTAGGTTGTGAACGCGGAGCGCGTGCTTGTGTTCATTACGGTTTTTCTTTGCTGTTTTGGCTCAGGGCGGCGGAAGAGAAGCCAAACCCATACCGTTTGGTTCCACCGACGGTTGCGCAAGGGCACGACAGTCAAACTCATCCCCGATTTATTGCGAACGCTGATATCGAAACACGAATGTAATATTCACCCGCGTGCTGATCGGCCAAAGGCCTTGTAAAGGAGCCACTCCCCGCTTCCTCTTGGCCCTCAACCACGGGGCACGTTTCAAGAATTTTCCTCCTTTTTTTCTTTTTCGTACAAGAACACAACAAATTCCATCTCCTCCACAGAAAACAAGTCTCGGATAGATCAGCAATGCATTCGCAGCGCTGTATGCTGACCAACATTTATTTATGCTTGGTTGCTAACCCGTATTTTCCACGGTTCCCCAGGTGCTTCTATGTGTGTTGAACCCCGCCTTCCCGCGCGCGTCCGTTCCGGCTTCTCTTATTCTCGCCTCTCCTTGGGTTGCCAGGAGGCACCCTAGCTACGCTGGAGATTCTGCCGGGCTACTACCGATCTTTGGCCACGAGCACGGACATCAGGGAGTGTTTCTTCGAGGACGCGTGCGAGGGGGGCCAGGTCGTCGGAGAATACTGCGCGACGGGGTACTCCGGGCCATGTAAGAAGCACACGTCGATTTCGTGTGGGCTTGTACCCATGGACAGGGCGCAGTGTACTTATTTCGCGCTCAGAACAATGTTCTCTGGGCCTTTTTCTACGCGTGTGCGTTACAGTATGGAAAGGGCACTTGGCGCTTAGAACAATGCTATTTCGGCCTTGTTGCGTGTGTTAAAAGTGTCGGGAAGGCCACATTATCTTTCGCGCCCAGATCAACGCTGGTTGTGCGCATTTGTGCTAGTGTGTTTTTTTTTTCGATGGAAGAAGACACGGCGCGAATTCCGGAACTTTTTTCTTGTACTTTTTAACGTGACTCGTCTCGTACGCACACATGTGTCCGCCCCGCCGCCCCC